TTATAAGAATACCTAGAAGTGCCAACTGGGATCAGCTCTTTCCATTGTGCTAGGTATATATTGCAAATGCATAGCTGATTTAAGGTCTTTTCAACTCCCAAAGGCACGGCATCACCAGCTGATCTGGCAAAAGGCAGGAAGAGGAGGAGGTAGAGAGCCAGGACAAAACAACATGACGCTATACAGTAAGTCACTGGTGCAGCTCAAACCAGTGATGGCAATAAAAGAAAATCAAATGCTTTTAAATTTATTACCTCTTAAATTGCTTTGGCTCTCTGGGGTGGCATCTAGTTTACTTAGCTATGAGACATGAAAAGGTCCCAACAGTGCATTTTTAAGCTCTCCAGTAGCATTCCCGAAACAATCTGAGTTAAGTATGTGACCTGGCATGCAATTTTCACTAGTGCAACTCATTTACATTTTACTATTCATGCTGGGCAAAGCTTTCTTAATGTCAAGTCGGTGAAAGTCCCCCCACAACACGCACTTCATACACATGCACACATAACTCCAAACACACCGGAGCAATACTGTGCTCAGCTGGAAGACGGGAATCCGACAAGATTTACAAAAACAGGCAGTGACTGAATCTACAGTTACTGCACTTCTTATCAGCTTAATGCACAACTTCTCTCTCTGCACAACAAATTCAGATCCAAATGCAGTTCTTTGCAATGTTATTTCTCCAGGGGTGTAAGCAGTCTGAACACTGAAGAGGTTTTGCCCCGTCACAATTTTCAAAACAGCTGTCAGAACAGTCAGAGAAAAGTGTCACAGGGACCTAAAACCAGTAGCGCGAGCATGAGCAGAGCAGGAAGACCATTAGCTGCAGAAGCAGAAGGTAGAGGCACCTAGGAGGACCAAACCACCGGGCGAGGCATGCACACACTAAGCCATATTCAAGAGATGATCCAATGCCTATGTACACATAAGAGCATACCATACACACAAACAATTTAACCTTCAACAAGGCCACGCAACTTCTTTTCTCATTTTAAAGAAATTAAACAATGAGAATACCACAAAAATCTTCTCCACTTCCAGCTCATGCAGCCCCTTCCCATTTTGCTAATCCATACACAGTCATCCGAAGAGAGCGTAGCTTCCCCTCCCCATGCAGTCCCTTCCCATTTTGCTAATCTGTACAGTCATCCGAAGAGAGCGTAGCTTCCCCTCCCCATGCAGCCCCTTCCCATTTTGCTAATCCGTACACAGTCATCCGAAGAGAGCGTAGCTTCCCCTCCCCATGCACCCATTTAAAAACTCAGAATCAACAATAAAACCCTTTTACCCTGAGCCGTGCACTCTTCTTTCCAGAGTTTTTTTCTGCTCTATTAATTTCTGTTGTCTCGCTGTACTCATACAGCCCTCCTCCCCCATCCTCCTTTTTTTTTTTTTTTTTTTTTTTGTGGACTGACCCACATTGTGATAGGTCAACATCCAACACCCAGTCCCTTTTTTGGAAGGATACAAGAAAAAAAGAGAAAGGGGGAGGGAGATGAAGAGAAGGGATGTTCTCCAACCTTCCAACTGCTCCTTCGAGAGCAAGATCAAGAACACTTGGGCCATGCACTGCATCCCTTTCCCATATTCCCAGCAGCCTCACTCCACTCAAACCAGTGAAGCCCTCTGCTCCCAGGAGAGAAACACAGAAAGACTGAAGACTACAAAGATGTTCTGCAACTAGCAGAGGCGAAAGAAACAAAAAGGATGTGTTGTAAACACTTTGTGTCCAGCGTGACAGAGGAAGTTTGCATTTCGTTTTCCAAATTCTCAAGAACAAACTGAAATCAGAACTTACTCCACCACCACTTGCATTCATCCTTCCTCACCTCCAAGTTGCCACAAGGTGTACAGTTCTCTAAGATGCATCAGAAAAGTCAAACTCTACAGCAGGATCAAAAGCCATTGAACTTTTGGCAGTCACACATGAAGGGAGTTTGGTTTGGGTTTTTTGGGGTTGTTTGTTTTTTTTATTATTGGAGCATACTTTTCCACACAGAATATAACATACAGAATCTATCAGATCAGATCCATACTTAAATTTAGCAAGTAAATGGGTCGGAAGAAGCCAGACTTCTTATCCCAAGCCTAGGCAACTGTGCAGCGATGCATGTGAGGGAGATGGCACATCTGACTTCCCTGGCAATCATTCTCTGATGCAAATATGTAACAGTGATGAGCACTGCAGAAGTAAAAACAGTGATTCTAAACAAAGCATCCAAAGCCACTCACTATGAAGCCATTCCGTTATTGCTAAAATAACATCTGATCTGCTTATTTTTGTTTGTGGGTTGTTGCTTTTTTTTTTTTAAACTCTGGATATAAGACACATACATCATCTTATTAATTCCCCCAAATCACTGACTCCTAATTTCATTACCCCTGTTAAACATTTCCTCCCACCCTGGCTTTTCTCTTGTCCTGTTACTCTATCAAGAAAAAAAAATATCCTACAGATGGAGACTGCTAAAAGCAGAATTAGGAGGTTTGTATTCCTGGAGTCCTGCGAGAGAAGAGTTCCTCCCCAGACGAAAATGCCAAGCCCTAGGTACATCAGCATCACAGCTCTGCTATTTAAAGAATGAACCCAGGCACAGGACTTCCCTTACACAAGCATTACCTCTGGAAGCTCACAGGCAGAGCACGATGCCTGGAAGAGAAAATGGTTCTCACCCTTGCTGGCTAAAGAACATCAGTGGGAAAAACCTTGCCCAGCATCCTCTTCCGAAGGCTACTTACGCCACATGAGTGGCGAGAAGTTGCTCACCCTGTCCTGACTCAGCGCTGAAGCTGACCACAGAGGTTTGCAGAGAAGTCGTCAATACTGTTGGAAGCTGAGAGATGCCAACAGCTACTAAAACACAGTTCAAAGTGATTCTGAAATCCCCCCTTCTCTACCCCAGAAACCAGCAACAGCAATGCATTTTCTCTATACAGAAAGGGGCACACCAAGCTTCCACCTCAGAGGGCGTGTGCTTAAAAAAAGACAAAACTTCAACCCAGTTTTTCCAGACACAGTAAGATTAAATTACCCAGTTGGATGAAATTGCCTAAACAGGAATTTATATGAGTAACTTCTAGCTTAAAACTCTGCTGTAAAATCAGTGCCATCAGAAAGCCATTGGGACATGGGAAAGAAAGTCTGAAAGTCAGGAGAATTAGGAGGAAGAGAGAGGTCACTCCCAGCTCCCATGGGACAATTGGCTGCAAATAGCTTCACCCACCACTAACCAGCCTTTCCTCGCAAAATTGGCAAGGAGGAGACAAGATGTGGTGAGCCACAAAGAGAAATTCACTCTCTTCTAATCTGCCTCCTCAGGTGACCGGTTTATCCAGGTTCATTTTAAATAACCTGGGCAGAGGCACAGCTACTTCCATTACTGCTACCTGGGCCATATCTGTGCTGGAGATGACCAGGCAACTGCGGGCTGCCAAGCAATCAGCTCAGCAGCCTCCGACAGCATCAACATCTGCTGCGTTTCACAGCCTGGGGAGGGAACAATGAGCTGGCAAGGTCAGCTTTTAAGGTATTACTTCATCTCATCTCCTTCCCAAAGCCTCACTCCTGCATTAGATAGCATGTTGCAGTCATTATCTTTGCTGAATCAGGGAGACCTTTTTTTACCTTTTTGCCACAGAGTTGATCCGGAGCCTGATGTACAACATACCTGGGCACAGAGGAACGCTTTTGGGTTAGACATAAAAAATTTGAGACCGTGACACCACCGCTCTATGCTCTTGGTCACTTCTCCATTACGCAATGTCCTCAAATAGCTGATCCTTCCAGTGTCATCAGTCTCCCAGGCACTGTGACTATAAGATAGTAATAGCAGTATTCCCATCCCTTCAACCCAGAGACAGGCTTGAGGGTGCGGAGACAAATATCCAGGCACCCTATGGGTTAAAGGACATGCAGGTAAAGCATGTAAGTTATTTCCCTTTTCAGGTTTCCTATAAATTATGCCCCTCAGGGGCTATAAGACCTGGTCATACCCAGATACAGCACGGTTCCTGGGCGGCTTGCCTATACACTGCATTTTCCCTGGACACAGCTTGCTCTGTTGCCTTCCGAGGCATGTTATTTACACCATCACAAACAAAAACTCCATGGAAGTTGGGCTGATTTTTAAAGACTACAGAGAACCTGGCTATAAGCAAGTACCCCAGTCCCTTGCCTCTTCCCAGAGGAGGAAGACTGGGAGGCAAGACTCCTGGAAGGTGGCTGCAGCTCACTGCTTCAGCTGGCAGAATTTCACCTCCAAAACCTTCCCTGGGGATTGCTGCTCTGAAAGCATGTCCAGTTGCTCTCTCCCAAAGTAGTCCTTAAGGACAAAAACCAAAACCAACAAACAACAACTTTTGAAAATAAAACCAAAACCAACTTTTCAAAAGGTTGTTTCCAGTCCAGGCGCTATCATATTTTATGGTTCTTGTAGCTAAGTGCTTTAATCCATCTTATCACCATTCCAAACCGCTTTCAGAGACCCAAGTGTTCTGGTAGGGTACAATGTCTTGGCAGGAAACTGCTTTTCCACCACCAGAAAGCAAACCCCAAAGAGTTTGGGAAGAAGCAACAAGAGCGCACGCACCGCTTCGAGCGAACAGATGGGCAAGGCAGCACAACAAAACCCAAACATGACGCTATTCTCTACAACACCTCGATTTTCCAGGGCTTTGGCGCGTGCAATCAATCACAAGCTCTAAAACAGAGAAAAGCTTCTGCCCCCAGCGCTGGCTGCTCAGTAACACGCAGCAGCTTTGTTAGGCAGAGAGCTAGCAGCGGTCGTCTACTAGGAAAGCTCCACGGTACAAAGGGTAAGTGCAATTTCCCTCTGAGGCTGTACTATCCTCTTGATCCTGCAGGCAGCCCAACCTGTATGTTTGCCGCTGCTTTATAACCTTGGTTTCCTCAATTTCAGCCTGAAAACCCCGTGAAAACTAGTCACAGCAGCAGCCCTTCAGAATTAACAAGTCTGATTGGCGACTTCATGTTTTACCTCAGCCTTCAGTAGCTTGAACAACGCAAGACTGGGCTCTTGAAGCAGCTAGGACCAAATAACAAACATCTCTCCAGGAATTCACTGCTCCCACCAGCCGTTGCTGCAAAAGCTCAAAGATGCCCTTGGAGTTGCTGGAAAATGAAACAGGCACTTTGGCTAGACGGAGCAGGCAAGAGCTCATCTCCACCGCTGCAAACATAAGTCAATTAAACACAGACCCAAAACAGGAGGGGAGAAGGGGATGAAGGTTAAGTTCCACCACAGAGAAATTACAAGGTTGTTGTCTCAAGTCAAAACACGATTATTAGATGTTTTAGTTAACTCACCAGTAGAACTGGATAAAGAAAGGGACTGACATTTTAGGGGGGAAAAAAAGGGGGGTTTAAAAGTTATTTTAATTAGAAGTTGGGGGAAAGAAAAACAACCTGACCTTCCTTTATCCACGAGAAGAAAAGAACCTTAATCCCACAACTGCAAACCGCAAAAGCTCATCTCCCAGCCTCCTACCAGCAAACAGGCAAGCAAGATGACAGAGAACAAGGCGGATTTCTAGCTGGATCTGTCAAATCGTTAGAAACCAGCCAACTCAGAATGCTTTCGTTATGCCAAATCAGCTAGTCACACTGAACTTTATTTTCTTACCAGCTGATGTATGTCTAAGAGCCTTCCCCTTCTAACTGCCACGTGTCCCAAGGAGACAACGGACAAATAAAAGTACAAAAGGTGCCCGAGCCATTGGGCGGCAGTCTTCCCCTTGCCCCACATTTCCAAAACACAAACCGTTCAGCACTCTGAACCGATTTTAGAGACCTGAGCAGAATACAAGTGGGGGGAAAAAAAAAAAGAAAGGTCTTCCCACACCACCAAACTAGTTAGAAACGCTGACTTTAGTAGCAACGTTCTCCCAATTATTTTGCAGCAAGCCAGAGTCCTTTCTGCTCCCGATGCAGAGACAGCCACCTGCTGCACACATGCCGCTTAAGGTTTACAGCACAACCTTAACAAGGGTGGTATTAAGAACTTAAAAACTGATTCGAAGCCCATTTTCTCGGGGACAATGGTGAAAAAAAGCCTGAAGTAGGCCTTTGTGGAGTACCTTCACCATAAGAAAAGCTCTCCTAAAGCCGTATTGTTTAGTACTTAGCCAGCACCCTAAAAGCATAAGAGTTTATTTTTTTTCCAAAACTACCACGCAAATACAAATCTTTAGTGTTAAAAGACCTGAACAACACAAACGTTTCTTCAGAAGTCTCCGGCCCCTTTTATGGAGGCTGCTAAGCCCTTAGACTCAAGGGTAACTTCCAGCAACACAAGTTCAATGGAACAGTTAACTATTGTGTTAAAAAAGCCAAGTCTTTGTTAGCGGGATGTATGCTTTATTACATTTTCATCGATTGCTGTCTTTTTCTTGCAGGATAGGAAATAAGACATTTCTCTTCATCCTGTTAGCCTTCGATCTACTATTGATCAATGCCTTCTATTTTTCTCTTCAACGGAGGTAAACAGTCTTTTCCCTGGGGAAGCCTGGCTGCGTCTTCAATAATTACTCCTGTTCAAGCTCCTGATGTAGCAAGAACCGTTTCAAACTTTCTGTAAGGAGGAGGCATCTTCAGTATTTCCTCTAGATTCCCCACTACCTCCTCCTACTCCTCCCACTCTTGACAGCTTCGTGGTGTTCCAGGCAGCTTTCATAGAGCTGTCCCTGAAACCGCTCTGGTCCCTTTCCTGGATCACAACTCATCAGAACCCAGTCACGCACACGTTCTTCCAAAGCCCTCCTTCCACTACGCGCTGCCGTTGCCAAGACTGAATTAGCCCTCAACGGAGCAATTGAAATTTCAAGACCCCGTGAGCATCCAAAACCAGACCCATCATAACTCGCCTGCCATCCAGGAGCACGCAGGCAGGGTAACAGCCTCCTCACGCGCTTACCGCATCAGCGCACGGTGTCCGTCAGTCCATCCAGCCTGGACCAGAAGAGGCACGGCAAACGCAAGCCGGGTGCCCACCACCCTGATGGGGTCTTGCCGTGCTCCCAGCCCGCCTTGGGGACAAACACACCCTTCCAGAAAGTGACACCCACCCAATGCCACCGAGCACCGCGACCGCACCGGGGGAGGGGGGTGTGGGGCTGTGCTGGGGCAACGCGTGTGCACGCGTGGGGAGACGGGGTGGGCTGCAGCAGGGAGATATTGGGGAACGGACTGTGGGGCTGCATCGGGGGC